CAGCATTGGATATTCCATGGTTCTTAAGAGCCTTGCCCCTGGAGCCAGCCTGCCTGAGTGTCAATCCTGCCTCTGACATTTACTACCCATGTTGGCCTAGTCCAGTGGTTGGCAAACTCATTAGTCAACAGAGCCAAATATCAACAGTACAACAATTGAAATTTCTTTTGAGAGCCAAATTTTTAAAACTTAAACTATATAGGTAGGTACATTGTTATTAACTTAATTAGGGTACTCCTAAGGCTTAGGAAGAGCCACACTCAAGGGGCCAAAGAGCCTCATGTGGCTCGAGAGCCGCAGTTTGCCGACCACTGGTAGGCACCTTCTCTTCATCTGTCACATGGTAACCACCTCCAGAAAAACATTCGACACATGGCCTGGCACATACTAAATGTTTGATAACTGTTAACTATAATTATTATAAGGTCCCAGAGATAACCTAAGTTTACAGATTATAAAACAGAAACTCAGAGAGTTGCTATGACTTGCCCAGGACATGCAGCTGATAGGTGGCTGAACAAAACCTGGATGGAGCCCAGTTCTCTGGATTCCTCCTCATTGCCCCACACAACAGGTTTTTAAATTATCTGTATGATTACTTTTTTCATGCATCATTTTTCTTCTGTCATGCATCTACCTGTATGTTGCCTATTCTGCTGCAAGTAGTAAAACTGTGTTTCTTTGCTTATAGCCTACAATCCAGACTTTTCACTAAGTCCAGCTGGCCTTCCGTCCATATGAAATAGCCTTTCCTGTATCTTCAACTCACTGACAGGGCTTTCTCTGTCTTCTCTCTTTATGTAACAGATGGAGAGTCAGGAGGGGAGGAACCTGTGGCTTCCTGAATTGCATGGAGAAGGCAACTTCTGATGGACAGACAGACATTTCCAGAGAGAATGCCAGCCTCCTTCCTTGCCGATCTCCTCTCTGCCTGGCTCTTACTCACCACTTAAAGATGAGGTTGAGCCAGTCTCCAATCACAGCTACCCAGAGGAGTTGGATGCCCACAGCTTCTCGAACATGGAACCAGATGGGGAAGAGGACATAGAAGGCATTCCTGAGGTCTGCGATCACAGAGACCAGGATGAACCAATCCTGGGAGTCCTGGTAATTCACCTGGAGGTAGCGTGTTGACTGGATCCCAAAGTCATGAAGGACGTTCATGCCTTCCTCCATGCTCACTCCCTGGCCCCTCAGGAAGCCGTCAGCTGAGCCCTTGCAGACTTGGTGGTGATAACTCTGCTATCAGCCTGCGTCTTGCCCGTTTTATACACCCTGTAACCAGCCTGCAGGTCAACCCAGCCCTGATCTTTGGACTCAAAAAACACTTTTGTCTAAAATCTATTGATCAAAGGTGCATCATCAGTAGGTTGATGCAAACATGTTCAGGGTGATTTACGTAAAATAGAAAACCAGGCACACAAAAACAGCCTGATCGGCCATGTGCTCCACAGGGCCAATTATTAACTTTGGCACGCTGCTCGACAGTGCCAGGGGCTGCCCTCCTGGCTCTGAAACCCAGCCAGAGACACAGGACAGAGTCTAAATCACTATGGTTCTTGCAAAGATGCCTGATTTCCCAAGTCTGCAACTGTGCTTATTTGGGAACAAAGAAAAAGTCTTGAAGTCCTAGTGATTCAGGTTTTAAGTTATTAATTTAGAAGGTAGTTCATTTTATTGTACTGGGTACTGTCACCTTGCTGGCCCTTTCTTAACTGCATTAGGGTCTAGGAAATGCCTCTGGTTTGGGAGCTCAAACCCTCTTCCCATGTGGCTCTATAGCTCAGGGCCAGAAAATAATCACCTTTGAATGCCTGATCAATTCATTTATTTAATGTCCTTAAAGTTTGGGCCTTTGGGGTTTTAACACATAAGTGAAAGCAATAAAATGAATGTGTGTTCACACAAAAACAATATGATTGATATATAGTTCTAAATAACAACACCAACAAATTGGTGACTGGGGACCCTGGAAAGGGCTTCTGTAGCTTGATCTTCCATTTGTACTTGGAGATATTTATGTTCACAAGGAAGTCAATCCATTCTTACTACAGCCATGGATATAGACAAGGAATAAATAAAAGTAACAGATGCCCAGGCGTGAGAAGCAATGCTGCCTTCCTCCCCTGCACAAGCAGAAATCGCCCTGCAGCAGTGCGGAGACCAAAACCTCACCCTTGGTCAGTTCGAACTCTGAAGGAAGCAAGGGCTGAATCAGGCGGTGACCGGAGGCATTTTTCAAGGATAAGAGCTAGTGGGAATAAAACTTTAAAATATTCACTTGAATTTCCCACCAGTAAGTCCATATTCCCTTGTCAGGGGTAGGAGACAGGGAAAAGGAACTCAGAGCTAATGAGTCTGTAGCAAAGGTATCTACATACAATTGCTCTGACCAAGAGGTATCCCTACCATGCTGGAAATGATGAAAACATCATCCAGGAAGTATGGTCTGGCATCTTATCCCCACCCTCCATGGGCTCCCACCCACCTCCAGCAGACCCCAGCTGCCCTTGACCACATTGTCTCTGCTGGTCCAAGCAACCCTATCCTACCATGCCTGGTCTGGGGAGGTAATGGTGGGCTGTGGGTGGGCTGCAAATGGAGCATGTACTTGGCAGTGTTGTGGGTAAGGGTGCTCTGGATTGTCAACAATGCTAGGCCGCAGGTAGTGGGCCCCACTGGAAAGCTTCCCTCCACCCAGATAAGCCTTCCTCGAAAGTATTGAGTAACCACTGTTGTGATCCCTGGGGACTGAAGTTTCTATGGTGTGAGGTGAGTTGAGGGCAAATAGGACAGACCCTCTGACAAAATATTAAAGGCCACTATCTGGTTCTCCACAGGGCTGCTAGCAGCCGGAATCTCTGAGTCAGGCAGGGTTCTCTCAGCATATGGGGAGGCCAGTGGAGGGCCCTATCTTCTGGAGGAAACTCAGGGAGAATGCTCGTGTTGATAAGGAGTGGGATGGAGCTGATATCTGCTCCCAGGGTAGGGGAGGAGTCCCGCTGGCAGGCAGCCCACCTGGTAGAAGTACCTCTTGGTCAGAGCAATTGTATATCATCATGAAACTCTTTGCTAGTTTATCTTTCTAACTTCCAGCCCCTTCCTGCTGCCTCCAGCAAGTTTTTATCATGTACAGAAAGAAGTGAGGCCCCAAAAGACCCAAGACTGCTGGGAAGCTGACTGCAGAGAGAAATGGCAGAGTCCTCAAATGCTCAAAGGACTTGTGGGTACTTTGAGGTGAATAACGGAGATGAAGTGTTTGAGTTGTTGGAGGTTTCAATGAGAAGTTACTCCCCTAAAGAACTCTCTCCAGAGAGGGGATTCATCATCTCCTTCTAACTCCTGTCATCTTCCCTTTCAAGAAGTTCTCCAGTTTAATTCAATAAACATTTCCTGAGCAAAGCCCCATTCTTGGCTCTATGAGATATTGCAAGTGAGCCCTAGCCGGTTTGGCTTAGTGAATAGACCCAGACTGAAGGGTCCCGGGTTCAATTCCGGTCAAGGGCATGGACCTCGGTGGCAGGCTCAATCCCCAGCCATGGTCAGGGTCCTTGTGGGAGGCAACCAATCAATGTGTCTCTCGCACGTTGATGTTTCTCTCTCTCTCTCCCTCTTCCTTCCACTCTCTCTAAAAAAATCAATGGATAAATATCCTCAGGTGAGGATTAACAAAAACAAACAAACAAAAAAGAAATTGCAAATTAAATCTTGGTTGTCCTCTGGGACCTGGACATTCTAGTGGGGCAGGGAAGTTAGATTATTTACACAACTCACTGTGTCAATTGGGGGATCCTTAGGTCGAAACTGAACTCATGTGTACAAATATCAGTGAGTTCCCTACAATTTTGTCCTGGGAAGAGAGGACTCAAGACGTATTGATGGCCCCTGGGAAAACGACCAGGATGGAAAGTTCTATGGGCCCCCTAGACAGGAACACTAGTTGGGCACTCTTTGGGCACTTTCTCCACAAACAGAAATCCAGAGGCTTGGGGATCTTGGTTTGGGAAGCACATGAAGGAAGGGCGCCAGAGAGAACAGCCTGGTCTGCTGCTAAATAAGTGCAGCTGGTTCCCGTGTCCTGGCACCGTCTCCTCCTAGAGCAAGGTTGACTCATTCACTCAGGCCAGTTTATTTGCTAACAGGGAAGCAAAGAGGGGAAGGAGTCATAATTTGCCACACGCCTCATCCAAAAATTGCTTTTATTACCAGTAAGACATTCCGACTTTCCCTGAAGTCAAATCCTCTATTCTGGCGGGGGCGCTGGGTTCTATGGAGCGAGGAGCTGCCTTTTTGCTCAGCTATGATCACAGAATGGGGCTCGTCTGCACATTGTACCAAGGATACAAAACCCAGCTTCAAGCCAAGGCTTTGTCTGGGCGGTGGGGGAGATTTCCTTGCAGGGTTACAGTCCAAACTCCAAGATGTACAGTTTTTTATTTTATTTATTTCTTTTTTGTGTGCTCCTCTCCCCCTACCACTTGGTCAATGGGGAAGGTGTTAGGGGTAGATCGCAGGAACTGGCTGGATCAAATCAACTGCTGTCACCTTTTTAGTGAGTGACCCTGTTCATTTTTTTTTACAAAATTATGTCGGGGAAAGCAGGTGAAGGGAGAGGCGGATTAATGATTGTTAGCCTGTGAAAATGGCTGACTTATCTCCGGCGTGGTGAGAAAGTTCAGCTTCAGAACCTTGAACTGTGCATTTATTGACCACGTGGGGGGAGCATGCTGTCTGTCTCAAGACGGGCTGCACATTTTGTCCACAGAAACACACCAGAGGACATTTGCTTCATTGTAAACAGTTAAGAACTCCCTGCTCACTCCCTGCCTCCTGCCACCCTAGTGTCTGCTTTCTACCAAAGTTAAATGAATCATTGGAACCTTTATGGGAAGCACAGACTGACCATCTTCTTCCTCTCCTCTATCATCTTCAACGCCCCCCCCTCGCCCCCCCGCAAGAAGCTGTTGTTAAGCCCAGATACAGCCAACCAGTTCCCTCATGACCAGATGGTGACACTGCTCCAACTGGCAATCAACCCTTTGGTGGTGCCAAACCACCCTTGCAGCTGGGAAACCTTCTTGCGTTAAGTTTGATCCTTCCTGCCAGGAGTTAAACTTTGTTGATGATGCACAGACGAGGCAGAGTCAAGGGAAGTAAGCCTCTAAAATGATGGTTGGGACTATCTGGGAAAAGGTCAGTTCCCTCCTTCTTCCTGGTCTGTACCTCAGAGGCAAAGAGGAGGTGTCTGAAGAGAGGTAGGAAGTGTAAGCTAAGAATCTAGCCTTAATCCACTGTGCCTCCTTGCTTCATCTCACAGATATTTTGAAAGAATTGGGGCCAACTAAAGAAAAAATGGAGGGAATATGTCATCAGTCGCTCAGTCATAGCTCAGCCTGGTTGGGTGTGAAACGAGGTGGGGACTGGGAATGCATGAGAGGGTGTAAAAGTTGGGTGTGTTTTTCTTTAGAAGACCCTCAAAAAACATCCTCAAGCTTTCAGCAGACAGCCCTTGAGACTTCTCTCCTACTGCCATCACTAGGACTTCTAAGGTAAAAAAAGAAATAATAAATAGGAAGATAAAGAGTGTGATTGTCTTGCTGGTGTTGCTAAATGGTTAGAGAGTTGGCCAGAGCACCAAAGGGTGGCGGGTAGGATTCCCAGTCAAGAGCACATACCTGGGTTGCAAGTTCAATCTCGTGGGGCTTCATGCCACATGGGGGAGGCAACCAATCAATGTGTCTCTCTCACATCCATGTTTCTCTCTCCCTCTCCTCCTTCCACGCTCTCTAAAAATCAATGGGAAAAAATATCCTCCGGTGAGGATTAAAAAAAAAAGAGTTGTGTGATCTTGGCCAAGTCACTAAAGTTCTCTGGATTTTACTTCTGTCAACTGTAGACTGAGACTTGGTGACTCTCACCCTCCTTTCAGTCCTATCATTTTCTGACTCTGGGGTGCTCCTTTGAAAGTAGCTCCAATGAGGTGGTACTTGACTTTTAGTGACCTAACAGAAGTAACTGATTCATTATTGCCAGAAGGAAAGATGTGTTCATATTTTTTTTTTAAAAAATTAAAATATATTTTTATTGATTTCAGAGAGGAAGGGAGAGGGAGAGAGAATCACCCCCTACTGGGGGTCGAGCCCTCAACTTGGGCATGTGCTCTTGACTGGAATCAAACTCGGGACCCTTCAGTCTGCAGGCCGACACTCTATCCACTGAGCCAAACTGGCCAGGGCTCATATTTTTTAAATTAAAATATTTTCAAAAGTAATATATTTACATGGTTTTAAAGAGTTCAAAGTTCAAAAGAGTATTCTGTGAAGTCAGTTCTTCCTCCCACCCCTGGGCACCATCCAAACATTGGTGCTGCCAGAACCCAACTGAGACCTGAGGTGCATCCAGAGTCAGAGAAGCCACCCCCCCCCCCCCGCCCCCCAGCCCAAGCAATTCTCCATCAGAAGTCAGCTCCCTATGTAGAGCCAGGCATCCAGCTGAGATCCAGTTTGGGGAGGGGTCATCCCTTCCACCTTCTCTCTGCCCCACCTCTGTTTCTCCCCCAGCTCTTCCCTGTAGTCCTTTAATCAACTCTTTCTTTAATAGCTATGGAACTTTCATCCCAACCAAAATGCCCATGTTGTACAGTCAGTTATTGTCCTTCCCTCTTCTAGAGCCCAGTTGGGGGACATAATTAGGAAATCAGTAGTCTTGGACCCTCTTAACCCACAACTTACCCCTTCTGAGAGTTCCCAAATGAGGTGAGGCCAGGATTGTCACGAAAACAAACAGTGAGGCATCCCTGCCCCCCCCCCCCTCCCAGGCCATGAGAGGGCCAAGGAACTATTCTGAGCTATGAAAACACAGATGGGCTCTGCTAGGAAGTAAACAGCAGTCTGTTCGCCAATGCTTGTCTCCCTGGATGGAAGTCCTGACAGTGCCTGATCTCCAGCCAGCCAGGGGTGGGCAAACTTTTTGACTCGAGGGCCACAATGGGTTCTTAAACTGGACCGGAGGGCCGGAACAAAAGCATGGATGGAGTGTTTGTGTGAACTAATATAAATTCAAAGTAAACATCATTATATAAAAGGGTACCGGCTTTTTTTTTTTTTTTTATTTTTATTCATTTCAAACGGGCTGGATCCAGCCCGCGGGCCGTAGTTTACCCACGGCTGAGCCAGCCAGTAGGAGAGAAAGGGAAAAGGGAAGGATAGAAGGGAAAGTCAGTGTTTGCTTTATTTTTAAAAGATTTTGTTCACTGTAGTAGGTTTGAAGTGGAAGGAGGGCAGCCCAGAATCATGTAATTCCAGGGGATCTCTCCAACCTTGAATTCCAGAGAGTAAGATGCTTGTTGCTCTCCTCAACCCTGTGCAGTATCGCCCTCCTCTCTCTCCTGGGAATGGGAAGTCACTGTGACCTTCTCCCTGTCAAATCTGCTGCTTGGCCTTTTTTTTTTTTCAATCTCCTTTTTTAATGCAATGGTTCCCTTGCTTGAAGAGCTCCATGTACATTCTTGCCCTTCTCCAGTCTATTCACCACACAGAAACCTATTTGCTCATGCCATTCCCTCCTTAAATAAAGACCAATATTTTTAAGAAGGCCTTAAGGCTCTGCACACCTCTCAAGTGGTTGGCCTTTTCTCATCCTTCTTTTTTCTTAATCTTTCGGTCACATCTGCAACATTTGGCAGATAACTGCCTTGAAACACTTGCCCTCTCTGTGTTCAATGTTGCTCCAGCAACATCTACTCTCTCTTCTCCTCTTCATCCTCTCATACTCAGTGTGGTGTTAGACTCCACTTGAATACCACCTGGACGTCCATGCATTCCCCAAATCTGCAAGTTCCTTCTAGACCTGCTCTTGTTCCATACTTCTGTTTTGTAAACATCTCCTCCTCCTCTGCCATCCCACAGGCACCGAGCCTGGCAACCCTCATCAGGTTCTGACTCTTGTTTGATTTTCTACTCTGACTGCCCCTCGTCAATCCCTCTGTCTTGACCTGCTAGTCCCTTCATTACCTAATGATCTCTTACTCCCCTTCTCACTGCCAAACCCAAGCCATCCTACAGACCACTGGCAAAGGAGCCTCTTACAGTACAGGTGTGTGTGTGTTTTTTTATTTATTTTTTATTTACTTAACACCTGAAGAATATCCAGTGGACACTGCCTACAGAATGAAGTTCAAACTCAAACTTATCCACAATCAAACCCCAGGTTATGGTTCCAGCCTTATGGCTTGCAACTCCTCTTCCTGGACCCCCTATTCCATATATACTAATGGGATTGGATTTCCCAAACACATTTTGGTTTGCCTAACTTTGCTCTTCCTCCCACCTGGAATATCACTTTCCTCATCTCCACATGTCCAGATTCTAAACATACTTCAAGGCCAAGGTAATAAAGCCTTTCCAACCCACTGGCTTAGCTGTTGTCAGCTATAAAGGACCACTCTGTCCTGAACTCCCCTAGCATTTAATCATTCTTATTTTAGGGCACTTAGCATGTTCAAACCTTGCATTGCAGTTGTTTTGCATATGACTTAACCCTTTTTCAGTTATCCTGAGCCCTGAGAGCCAAGAAGTTACTCAGACCTGAGCTCTGCTCGCATATTTGGTGCCAGCATGATAGATTGCTTAGACTGCTGTGATGGTTCCTTCCATTGCTCATATGCACCTCTTTGCATTGTTTCTTTGCCTCTCTTCCCATCAAGGAGAGAATTTATATCTCCATCCTTTGAATCTGGGGGCCAATGGGACATTAGTAGATGTGATACCAACGGAGGCTTGAAAAGCATTCACTCACTAGCTCTTGTCCCCTTTGGGCTACCACTGGAGTCCAGGACCACAAAGAGGAGAAGTCCAGGCTGGCCTGCTGGACACACGTTGCTGTAACACGTAGCCTGTCTGATAGCCGGCCCCAGCTGCCAGACGTGTGAGTGAGTCCATCATAGACCATCCAGCCCTAGTCTCTCTGCCAGATATCTGCAGTCAAGAGAGTGATTCCAGGTGACTCCAGCAGAAGAACTGCCCAACTGAGCCCCAGCTCAGAGAGCTGACCTACAGAATAATGAGCAAATAAAATGGTTTGATGTTTTAAGCCACTGTTTTTCAAGGGGGCTTGTTATGCAGTAACTGAAACACCCAGATGCTGTTAATAAAATATTAAATAATAGCTAGCATTCATTGAGCACTTACTATACTCCAAGAACTAGACTTGGAAAATTATAGATTGATCCCCATCAAAATCCTGATATAAATTTTATACTGCCCCCATTTTACAGGTGATGAAAGTGAGGCCCAGAGAAGTTAACGAAGTTGCCCAAGGTCACACTGTCAGATTCAAACCCCAGAATCTGGCTCCAGAAATCATTATACCACATTGCAGAATGAGGAAAACATACATGCCAAATTCTATAGTGTTTTGGAGTCTAACACCCGCCTATGCTTCTAACCCTCCCACACTACGTCCTCTTGAGTCTGTCCCAGGCCCTGGGCCCCAACTGCCTGTTTCAGGGAAAGCCAAGCCAGGGGAACTGATTTACAGACCTGCCGTCTGTCTATCTCATGTTCTCCTTCCTACAACCTTTGCTGGGTTCCAGCGGTGCAGGTTTCGTGCGGAGAGGAATTGCTTGGGCTCAGCGTGTCAGTGTTGACCCTTGGCCCCCTGTCCTGGCTTAACCTGTGCAGCCAGGGTGATTTTTCACTCAGGATCTTTGGACTTTCTTCGACCTTTTTTTTTTTTTTAAAGCATAAACACATTTATTTACTAACCGAAGGGTCAATCCTAATTAAACCAACACTCAGAAGTAGTTGCATATAAAATGAGTGTGATACAGAGAGCTGAACACAGTAATGGGGGAGGGGGAGAGGCATGCTTGAATTGAGCTTGTTTATCCTCGTGGCTAATTCCTGCCCAGAAGGATGATGGAAATTTCACTCCGCTTTTTCACAGGCCCAAGTACAGCTGACATTGTTCATGACACATTCCGCCACTAACTCCCGCCTTCCAGTCTTCTGGTTCTGGCGCTTTCCTTCCCGGCCCGTTCCCGATGTCGGGCCAATGCACCGTTTACGAAGCTGCAGGTGGCCTGAGCTATTGTGCCATCGGCTGCAGTTTCTTCAGACTTGTCTCTCAGGCTGCGTGAGCACTGTGTCACCTTCACCGTGCTCTCAGTTTTTCCCGTGAGGTTTTGGCCATCAGAGGTGATGACGCAGTCTGGCTTGGCCATGGCGCCCATTCCCGCGCCTGGTTCCTTCATGGACTCGGTGAAGCCTTTGTTCTCCACGAAGAGCCATCTGCCTACCAGCTGCTGAATGGAGATCATGGTGGGCACGGGAGGCCTGTGGGCCCATGATGGGGAGGTGGAGGCAGTGAACTTGGGTTTGGTGTGTGAACCTCCACTGTAGACGTTTGTTTAAAGTACTGAGGGAGTGCTTGCTTCGGCAGCACATATACTGAAGTACTAAGGGAGCAGGGAGAACAGAGCAGTGAGCAGAGAAAGGTGGGGGTGGGTGACCTTTGGGTTGGGTTTTAGGGGATGAATAAGGCATCACCAGAGGAGGAGGGAGGAAGGGGAAAGGGGAAGGAACCAGAGCAAATAAGGAAGAAGGCGGATGGGCAGAGGCATGCGTGGATGGGGACAGCCTGTTTGGGGATGGGCACAGGGTCATGACAGTCTGGAGTGCAGGGCATCAAGATGGCAGGATGTGCAAACCCAGGGTGAACAGCCTAATGTGCCCCAGAGAGTGGGGAGCTCGGAAAACGTACAATTCCAGTTGGCCAAGGAGAAACTATAGGAGGAGGAGGAGGGGAATGAAGGTGGGAATTTGCTTATAATGAGTCTGCTCTGGAAGTTAGATGTGAAGTCCATGGAGAGGTTGGTGTGGGTTGTATCAGGAGAGTCTGGCTGTCTCTAGGATACCGCACGATGGTTTCTCGGTGCATTAACCACAGTCCAAGGGAGGGGCCTAAATCAGAAACCAGATCCATCAAGCTCCCCAAGGGAGAGTGTCTTTCAAGGAAGATCTAAATTTTCCAAAGTAATAATAAAGGCTAATCCTCATTTTATAGTAATTGTCAAGCAAAACCAATTATTATCAGAATACCCCTAGTTCATTTACACAAGAGATATAACTGGTTTGCCCGTTTCTTCCCATGACCCAGGTGTGGTGGGTAGCTGACCGGTTGAGCTGTGAATCAGAATCAGCAGTTGGTCATGAGATAGGTTTGATAGGGCCCAGTGCCTCCATCTGCATGGCTAGTGTCCTCCGGGGCTGGTCTGTACTGGCCTTGGGCCAGGTCTTCTGCTCCAGATACGGTCAGATTGGCACTTCTAGGGCAGGCTCCATAACGCTCCTTTTCTGTGCCTCCTCACAGACACGTTCTTTATGTGTCTTACACTCTCTGGTCAGGCTCCTCTGGCCAGTTTGGAACTAAACTGCTGTCCCAGGCTTTTCTCAACCTTAGCTAGATGTTAGAATCACATGGGGAAAACTCATGCTGCTTACTGCATACATGTATGCTCTGCCTCCCCACCAGAGATTGATTTTATTGGCCTGCGGTGCAGCCTGGGTATGTGGAGTTTTACAAGCTCCCCCGTGATTTCAGGTACAGTCCAGATTAAGAGCTTTTGCTTTAAGGCAATGGCGCATACTTTTGCTCGGGGCCACTGAGTGTTGATTTTGCTCATAGAAGGTCACTTACCACGGGCCAGGTGCCAAGTGCTTCTCAAGCATTACGCTGTTCATTCTTTAACCAGGCCTGCTAGTCAGTGAAGAAGAGCAGTAGTACAGGGGAAGGCAGTCGGGTATAATTCCACAAAGACCTGGGTTCAATCCCGGCCCCACCATGTACCAGCCCGGTGACTTGGGGCAAGTTACCCAATTCCTGTGAATCTCAGTTTCCTCATCCGTGAAATGGGAAAAATAGTATCTGTTTCTCAAGGTTGTTGTGAGGAATAAATGAGGCAACAGATGAAAATCAGCCAGTCCAGCAGAGTCTCCGCCATACTGTCCCCCTTTCAGTGGGAGAGACTGAGACATCGCGTTCCTTGGGGGTCCTCAAGAAAAGCGGAGCCCCCTCATATTCTAGTCCACAGACATAGGTCAAGGAGATGAGAGAAGGTGTCTGAGACCCAGGCCCCACTGAGAATGCTATGATCTATTTCCCTTCGCAGGATCCAGATGGGGTGAGGAGGAATGCTACAGAAGATGCAGACACCCACCTGAGCCCGAATGGAGAAAACGTATCAACCATCAGACACAGGCCAAGTGTTGGAGTGGGGACATGAGGCCAGCACCACTAAGAGGCCAAGACAGGGAGCACACACTGATACTGTGTGTGTGTGTGTGTGATACTGTGTGTGTTCGAGTGTGTTCAGTGGGATCTGTAGGTCTAAGGGTTCCTGAAGGGCCTACATTCCCAGGTTCTCTCTCACTTGCCAGGTTCCTCCTAGAACTTTGCTGTTCGGACCCTTTGGATTTCTCTGGGCTGCATTCCTTAAGGTCTGATTGCTTCTTTCTTGTGGCTGGAAGGATATGTTCCCAGTGGAGCCCTCCAATAGGGTTCTCTGTGCACACACTCCCTTGGGGTGGCCCCCTGGGGAGCCCCATGGCACACTCCTGGGTCAGCAGGTGAGCCACAGCAGCAGAGTCCCCCACACAGTCCAGGGCCACAGGTCCCCACTCCCCATTCCTGCACCTGGAGAAACAGGTGGAACAGCCAAGAGAAGCATCATTGGCTGCTCCACAGTGTTTGTTTTGGGGCAAGATGAAAACATTTGCACCCATCATGGTCCCAATTTCTTTAAATAAGAAAACACAAGAAAGTCAAAATGATATTTATTTGGGCTGAGAAGTAAAGAGAAACTAAATCACTGATCTGAAAAGCAAAGTGGAAAGAACCAACAACAGCAAACTAGCTCTGCCTTAACCCTTTCCCAGCTGAGCTCTTGTCTCCATATCGTGCTATTATTCTTGAATCAAGAATGTAGCTTCCACAGTGTTTAGTCTGTATGAAGGTCCCTTTGCCAGAACTCAGTTCCTTTCCAACTCACTTTTTTTTTTTGAGGATTAACAAAAAGGAAAAGAAAGCAAGCTGTCCATATACCTATGTCTCTCACATGAAGACAACCAGGGATTGTCTTTCTCTCCCACAAGATAGGCCCTGCTGTCCTAGGCTTCCCCAGCCCAGGGACAGAGGGGGACACTGGAATTGAGGGATGGGGGAGAATTGCAGGACCTGAAGCAGCAAGGAGATCCCCCCAGGACCTTAGAGGGAAGGCCGGGGAGTAGAAGCTGAAGTAGCAAGAGAAGGGGAGGGAGAAAGAGCAGAGAAGGAACGTGCTAGGATGACAGGGAATAAAACAGAGAAGCACCTTCCCAACAGCTGGGACACAGGCCAGGAAGGGACCCTAGCCGAGGTCTTAGAGGCCTCACCTTCATATTCAAGACCCGGGCAGAGGAGGAGCTGAGCAGGCCCAACAAAGCATCCGAATGTACTTAATGCCATTGGCCTGTATATTTACTAGTAAAGATGGTCCGATGGTAAATCTTATGTTGTTATGTTTTACCACAATAAAAAAGAGAAAGAAAAAATAAAGGTACAATCACTTTGGAAAGCAGTCCAGCAGCCTCCTCAAAAGGTTAAACATATGACCCAGCAATTCCACTCCCAGCTTTGTACCAGGAGAAGTGAAAACATATGCCCACATGAAAACTTGTACACAAATGTTCACAGCAGCGTTATCCATAATAACCAAAACATGGAAACAATCCACATGTCCTTGAACTGATGAATGAACAAACAAAAATGTGGTAACATTCATACAATGGAATACAATTCGGCCCTCAAGGAATGAAGTCTTGTTTCATGCTACAAAGTGGATGCGCCTCAAAAACATTCTGCTGAAAGAAGCCAATCACAGAAGACCACATGTTGTATAGAGCTGTTTACATGTAATGGCCAGAATATAGGCAAGTCTGTAGTGACAGAAAGCTTGGTGGTTGCCTAGAGCTGGGAAGGGTTGAAGGGAAATGGGAAGTGACTGCTAACAGGTATGGGGTTTCTTTCTGCGGTGATGAAAATGTTCTGGAATTAGTAGTGATGGTTGCACAGCTTTATGAATATTCTAAAACCCACTAAATTAGACACATTAAAAGGATAAATCTTATTGTATGTGAATGATATATAATTGTAAAAAAAAATTTAAAAAACTGTTAGAAACAAACAAAAGTCTCCTGGGAAAAAGCTAGGCCATCACTCCAGCTCCAGCTGGCCATTCCTCTCCTCTCTGGGACAGAAACCCAGCAGGTCTAGGGTCAACAAAGTTGAATCCCTGCTGTGTCAGGCATCACAGGCTCAGGATGCTTCCAATAGGAGGGTGATGCAAAGAAGGGTGATGGGAGAGAGGATCTTGGGGAGGAGAGGATCTTAGTGGAAGATCAGGCTTCCTGGCCCAGTGCCCACTGCTCCCCTCTCCACACACACTGGCCCTGGGGCCCTGGACATTCCCCATCCTAGGGACCACCTAGTTGTGAGAGAAGCCCCCATGAGAGAAGGCAGGGAGGTCGGGGGCACAGTCAGCAGCCTTGGGGAGGCAAGCCAGGGGGTTGACCTCACAGGCCCCAGCATCCTGGTCCCCCCGGAAATAGATGGAGTCTGCAGAATTGGAGGAGGGGTCCTGGTCAAAGAAGTTGTAGGGTCGGAGGAAGAAGCCCACACCATTCCCCACAGTCACTGTGTTGGGAACGTCCTCTGCATGGGGGATGTGCAGGAAACCAGCTGTCACCCAGGCCACCAAGTCCTAGCAGGGGAGAAGGAAGAGGATCATGAGGCCTGGCTTTGCTAAAGACACACCTGCCTCCCACAGTAGCCTGGTATGTAAGGATTCAGTTCACCAGCCCAATATCACTGTGAAAACGTGAAGCTTCGTTTCTTAATGGGTTTTAAAGTCCCCGGAGGGCCCTGGCGTGGGAGAGTGAAGTGGCTCATCCTTGCTCCCGCCGCCTCCCCCAGACTAACCTGCCCTGCAACAGTTTCATTGTTGATGAAGTCAGTGAAGTCCACGGTGGGTGTCCAAGGGTCGTTCAAATTGTAGATGCTGGTGCTGCTGGGCTCCTCCTCCTTCCGCTGGGTCACGGCCAGCTGGTACCTACAGGAGGTTTGGATTAGACCCACAAGGCCATCAAACTGTCCTACTGTTTGAAGCTGCACTGAAGAGGGAACGGAAAGGAAAAATAAGCACAAAGGTCTCTGTTCACTTCCCATTCTCCCTCTCTGCCTGTCCCTCTTAGAGTTCCCACGTCCGTTCAGTAACGTGTATCTCAAACATCAACTGGCCATTGTTCAGGCTTCAGGTCCTACTGTCGTTCATGCATCCACCTAGATTCTAGATCAGAGCCTGGGCCCTGGATGCATGGACATGGCCTGGTTCCCATTTTAGGTCAATTTCTATATTTCAAACGCCTGGGTTTTAGGGAATACCCCCTGCCATCTGTGTTCTTCTTACTCTGTTTTTTTCCCCCAACACTTATTGCTAACATTTAAAGTTAAAGAACAGTGTAGTGAACACACATACTAGTAGACCCACAGCCCAGATTCTACCTATAACATTTTATTGTATTTGATTCGACATGTGTTGCTCCATTCTTTCATCCACTCAGTAGGCCTCATTTTAATGGATTAGAAAACTGTGGTACATCTACACGATGGAATACTATGCTGCTGTCAAAAAGAAGGAACTCTTACCATTTGCAACGGCATGGATGGAACTGGAGAGCATTATGCTAAGTGAAATAAGCCAGTCAATGAAGGAAAAATACCACATGATCTCACTCATTCATGGATAATAGAGACCATTATAAACTTTTGAACAATTATAGATACAGAAGCAGAGCTGCCTCAAACAGATTGTCAAACTGCAGCAGGAAGGCCGGGGAGGGTTGGGGGGCAGGAGGGAAGGGGGTAAGAGATCAACCGAAGGACTTGTATGCATGCATATAAGCATAACCAATAGACATAAGACACTGGGGGGTAGGGGAGGCCAGGGGATTGTCAAGGGAGGGGGGAAAAAAAAAGAAGGACACATATGTAATACCCTTTGTAATACTTTAAGCAATAAAAAAAAAGTAAAAAAAATACATACTAACTACATATATATAAGATATTAAATAGAAAAAAAAATTCTCACCCAAGGATATTTTTTCCATTGTTTTTTAAAATTATTTATTTAGTTATTTATTTTAGAGAGAGAGTGGAAGGGAGGAAGAGAAGGAGAGAGAAACATCCATGTGAGAGAGACATACGGATTGTTTGCCTCCCACATGTGTCCCTACCAGGGTTGGGGATCAAACCTGCAACCCAGGTACACACCCTTGATCTGGAATCAAATCCGAGACCCTTTCGTGTGTGGGGCCTATGCTCTAACCACTGAGCTACCAGCCAGGGCACTAGGCCTCATTTTACATGGATCAAGATTGTGGCCACAGGCTTGTGTGTGTGTGTGTGTGTGTGTGTGTGTGTATGAGTGTGCATGTACACCCACAGGAGGTGGGAGAACCTGGGTTCCCAGCAACATGGGGCCTTTCTTACAGTCCATCTCCCCCAGCTTCCCCTGACACCCGGCCACTCACCTCCCCCAGCTGAAGGCTCTCTCCATGGAGCTGTTCTGGGGCAGCGGCTGTCCAGCAAAACTGAGCACCTGGATGCGGTAGCCCCGAGGGTGACCCCACTTGTTGCTGTGGTTGCTGGCCAGGTACAGGTAGCGAGGGGTGGCACTTCCCAGGGGGAAGGTGGCCTGCTCCTCTGTCTCTAGTAGCTTCCGGGTCACCTGCAGCCTCTGCATCTGGTGCTCAGGGCTCCAGGGGACAGCCATGGGGACGAAGACCATGTCCTCAGCCCAGACCCAGTTCTCCAGTCCTGCCGGGGTGAGGGAAGGAGGAGAAAAGATGGGAGAAAGGAATGACCACCCACCTGGCTTCAGACTGGGGGCCAAAGAGAAGCCCAGAGCTGAATATGTCCTCTACTTCTCTTCCTTTTCTCCCCAAGATATTCCTGATTCAGAGATTTCGAGAAGATCTCTCTCCCCGATGTCACCTCTGGTAACAATCCCAGATGCCTTGTGACTGGGCCTCCCCTGACCTTCCTCTGAGAAGGAATGGTGGTTTACCTGAGGTTGAAACAGCCTAGCAGGCAATGTGCAGAGTCAGATCTTTCTGACTTGAGGAAGGTATTGTGTCTCATATCTGAAGCCCTCTGGCATCACCAGAACTACCGTACCATGTAAATATTAACAGTTATAGCTCACATTTACTGAACCTGAAGGTGCTATGCATAAGGCATCATGCTGAGTGCTTTACATGTACTGGTGATCTACCTGTATAACAGCCTTCTGAAGGAGAAACTACAATTGTCCCCATTTTACAGCTGGGACAACTGAGGCTTAGAGAACTTAAATAACATGCCCTGGCTTTTCACCAAGGGGACACTGTTAGTATTGTGGCAATGCTTGAGACCCAAGTCTTCATTTGACTCTAATGCCTACACATCAGCACATGAAGGAAACCAACAACGCCTCACCACACGACAGCAGACATGTGGGCCCAAAGTTGCTGGAGCTTGGAGGTGTTTCCCATAGTTTGAGGTTTGGCAAGGAATTAAGAGTAGGGCCAAAGGCAGTCAGTTCCCTGAATTTTGGAGTTTTGAATGATCTGTTAGAATGTAACTAGGTTCCATATTAGGAATCAGCTTAAATAATCTGAGACTGATCCACTAAGGGTGGAAATCTTTTAGGAATCTGATGTTTGGCACATTTACTTCATATACTTTTACATTTTTAATGTTTCAATGACAATTTTTAAAGCGAGGCATGGAGACGTCAGCCCCCTCTTCTGGAATGCGCCCCCCCGCCCCGGGATATCTTACCTCCTACATCCAGATCCACCTTGAAGTGGGCACTGTGGGTGTGGGCAGTGCCCAGCGTGTGCTCCCCAACCTGGTTCCCATAACTTCGGGCAGCACCAAAGAGGAACGTTGAACTGATGTAGCCCGTGGCATGCAATTTGACTTCTATGGCCCCGTTGGGGTGGAAGACCATATCCCACACATAGTCGTAGTTGAGCATGGTAGACACAGACCTGACGACCAGAACTGTCTCTGCAAGGCCTCCAAAATAGTGGGAGTGGATATCTGAGTGGTGTCGCCTCAGGGGTAGGCCTTGGTTCTGTTCAAACACACAAAAGGCATCTCGTATTGTCTTGGGGGCTTGGGACTCCAGAAGGAAGTGCCAGTCCACGTACGTGGCCAGGTAGGGGCAGTCGACACCACGGGTCAGAGGTGAAGAGAAGTGGCCCAAGCCAAAGCCACCATCTGTGTACCGGCTTCGCAGAGCAGACGGTGAATTGCCACCATAGACGGTCAAGGCCTCTTGGACGCTGACTTCATAGGCCACTCTCTCCCCTTGGAAGCGGAGGTCAAAGATCCTTGGGCCACTGAATGCTCCAAGACCAAAAGAGAAAGTCCACAATGAGGAGGCCACTCGACTCCCCTGGACACTGAAGCGGGGGCCCTCGGGATGGAACTGCAGAGGGGGAGCCGGACCCCGGGGCACCTGGGACTTCAGGGACCAGGACCCACCTGTGCCATTGTCTGGGATCAGCACCACATTCACCAGGTGGGCCTCAAACTGATCCTCCAGCTGAGCCAGACTCTTATAGTAGCGGCCTTGAAAGAATACCTTCTGGATGGTCCAGAGGGCAGGGTCCAGAGCCTTGTGGTCTACCAGCAGCTCCAACCCCACGGGGTGCAGGAAAAAACCAGCCCCTGAGATGTTGTAGTAGAGGCCAAACCAGGTAGCCCGGTCTCCTGATTGCAAACCCCGGGGAGCCGTGTTCATCGTGACTAGGTTCCTTCCTTGGTGCTTGTAGAAGCAGCAGTGGTGGAGGAGACCAGCAGCCTGGGGCAGCTCTCTGTCAAAGATCATCTGGTCTATGTCCAGGTACTCTCGGATGAGCACGGGGCGTCGGTGATAGGGCAGGGGACCCCCATGACGCTCCACAGTCACATCCCGCATGTAGGAGGGGTGGGGCAGTGGTCCCACCACCAGCTCACTCACGTTGGGCTGGGGTTGTCCACCAAAGAAGATGATGGCCAGTGCCTCCCGGGCAGGCGGGGGGCTCCCCCTGTCCAGGTGTGCCAGGGCTGCAGCCTTGGGGGGCAGCTGCAGCTCCACGGAGAAGATGCAGTTGTCTGATGGGCGGGCCTGGGCTGCATCCACCAGGCCTGGCCCCAGCTGCTGGGTCAGAAAGCTCATCACAGCCGTCAGCTCCTCTTGGCTCAGGTCTGCAAACAGCTGGCTCTGGCCAGGCTGTGTCCAGTGCTGGGCACTGGGAGATATGGAGGGGCAGCGGGGAAGCTGTCCAGGTTTACATCTCCTCTCAAATCCTTCCTCACTCCCAGCTCCACCTTCACCCATGCCTATCACCAAAACACTACAAAGGGGCAAAATAAGGAAGAAAGCCATAGCTAAACCTCCTGGGCTGTCTTCAGGCTCTTGAATTGGAATGAATAATGGGAAATAGAAAGATAAACAAGACCTGGGTACAGGATCAGCACCTCTTTTAGTCTCTGGAGGTTCCTGGTCTCTGGCTGGTGCTGCTGGACAAGAGGCCTGATGGGTACATTGAAGAGAATCAGCCAAGGGCAGAGGGTTGGGTGGGGGTGGAGCTGAAGCTGGAGGGAGCCAGGGGTCAGGCCAGGCTTGGGAGGTGGGGCTGTGGTAGGAACCTGGACTTTAAATGGCCCACATAAGCCTCTGTCCTCTGTTCCAAATCAAATACTCAGGGTCAGGGTTGGGGACAAAGTGGGGGAGGGGTTGGTTTGGGAGATAACACAGCTGGAGGGAGGAAAGAGGAAGTGACGGGGCAGAAAGGGACTGTTCTTGGGCTCTTCCTCCACCCTCCGGATGGAACCTTTCTCCAGGCTACGAGGCTATAAGCGAAACACCTGCCCACACCTCTCCAGCCAGGTTCCTTCATTCCTGCCATTAGTCCATGGTGCCCTCTAGATTCTTCCTCGTCACTCTGTCACTCTCTCGTGCCCCCTTCCCCCCACAACAACCAGAACCCCACTGCAGCCCCAGGGATGCTTGAGAATAATGTTGCGAACACGAAGCACCTGGGAGGGGTGGAAGGTGGAGGCTGAGTGAGACAGGTCAACACTGTGCAGGCTCTGTGAGCGCCCTAAGTGCCTGGAGCATGCAGGATGCGGAGCCAGTGAGAAGCTGGAGAGGGTATGGGGGCTGCAGAGTGTAACAGAGACCCCCCCCATCCCTTCAACACACACCTTGAGCGGGACTGATGGGCCAGGTTAGAGGTCAGGGGGCCTGGAAAACTGGCTGTGGAATTAACCTAGCAGCCCACAACCCTCAACTCCGGGAAACCTTCCTCCAAAATGTTGCAGACTCAGAGAGAAAAGCCACCTCCATTCTCTTCCAGGTGAGGTGCCGTAGGCCCCGAGGGGAACTAGGAGAGACTGAAGGTTCAAGAGAAGGAACATGCTTCCCTCCCGAGCCTGGGGAAGAATCCTTTCCAAGCTGGACACGTCCGGGAAGACTTTTTCCAGGAATGATGCTAGACTGAGCTTGCGGGCAGGATGCATTCTCCTGGCAGAGAATGGGAAGGACATTCCAGCCAAAGGGAACAGAAGGTGCAAAGGTACAGAAACCTGAGACAGCCTCAGCATGGGCAGGGAATGGCCAAAAGGTCAGCGTGTTTGGTGTGAAGTGGGGATGGGAAGGAGGGCAGGCACCTTGTGTGGTTCATGTTTTAAGTGTTAGTGATCTGAGGAAGACGTGAAACATCTCAGAACCCAGACATTTCAACTAGGGCAACCAGTCTCAGAAAGGTCAGATTATGCAGAAATATTTATACAACCAGTTCTATGTAGATATGGAAACGTGACAGGTTTTCCTCTCCTTTGTTCTTTATTTCTTAAAAATAATATATTTTTATTGATGCCAGAGAGGAAGGGAAAGGGAGAGAGAGATGGAAAGACCAGCGATGAGAGAAAATCCTTGGGCAGCTGCCTCCTACATGCCCTACATGGGGGATCAAGTCCGCAACCCGGGCATGTGGCCTCCCTGGGAATCGAACCATGACCTTTTAGTGTATGGGATGATGCTCCAACCAACTGAGCCACATCGGCCAGTATTTATTTTAATTTTTAAAATGTTTTAATAACATTTTGGTGAACAAACAGGAGAAAATGGGGCTTTTGCTCTAGGACAGCGGTTCTCAACCTGTGGGTCGCGACCCCTTTGGCGGTCGAATGACCCTTTCACAGGGGTCGCCTAAGACCATCCTGCATATCAGAGATTTACATGACGATTCATAACAGTAGCAACATTACAGTTATGAAGTAGCAACGAAAATAATTTTATGGTTGGGTCACGACATGAGGAACTGTATTTAAAGGGCCAGAAGGTTGAGAGCCACTGAACTAGGAGAAAATAGGTGTGGGCCAGCCCCTCCTCCCATCCTTGTCTTGGCAAGTCTGGCCTCAGGGCAGTGGGGAAAGGTAGCAAAGTAGCAGTGGACACTGTTAGCTGAAGACTAACCAACCATTCCCCAAAGTCCCAGATGAGTCTTTCCTAACCCTAACGCCAATAGCTATAATTGAATTTCCTGCCAACCAGGTGAGTGAGGGCACAGAGCTGGTTATCTGTCATAGAAAAATAGAGAAACATGGCATTTCATACCCACCCCTGAGTGTTGGGGAGAAAAACTCACACCCAATATTCCCATTGACTGAGCAGTAGGATGGAACTGGAGAGCTTCTTGTAGTCAAGACAAACAATAGAGCTGCTATAACTAAGGCAGAAAGAGGTCATTGGAAATTGGCTGTGCAACCTAGAGAATTAGGGGGAGCAGAATCTAATGTTAGGCCTACCTACTCCTGGCCACCAGGCAACTGTGAGTCTGGGTCTTTCATAAGTCATGGTCTCAGCTCCCAGCTAAGATCACACTGTTCAGATTGCTAATGTTTTTTGTCCTGAACAGTGTTACCAAACAGAGATCAAAATATTCACTCTGGTGGAGTATCACCAAGCTATTATATGGGAAGGTGGGTAATGATGGGGGCCAGGAACCCTTTGCCTTGGCTGGTGGGGAATTGGTGTATAAAAAAGCATCACCCTGTCCTAGCCAGTTTGAATCCGTGGATAGAGCAGCGGCCTGCGGACTGAAGGGTCCCGGGTTCGATACCGGTCAAGGGCACATGCCTGCATTTCGGGCTCAATCCCCAGTAGGGGGCATGCAGGAGGCAGCTAATCAATGATTCTCTCTCATCATTGATGTTTCTATCTCCCTCTCCCTCTCCCTTCCTCTCTGAAATCAATAAAAATATATATTTTTTTTTAAAAAGCATCACCCTGACCACCTTCCCTAAGTGTCTAGCTATTGCATTGTTTCCTCTGATATTGTTTCATCCTAGTCTTCCCAATCATCATGTTAAATACCCTAAAAACTTGTTGAAAAGGTGTCCCTCTTGCCATAATCGGTTTGGTTCAGTGGATAGAGCGTCGGCCTGCAGACTGAAAGGTCCCAGGTTCGATTCCAGTCAAGAGCATGTACCTTGGTTGCGGACACATCCCCAGTAGGAGGTGTGTAGGAGGCAGCTGATCAATGTTTCTCTCTCATTGATGTTTCTAACTCTCTATCCCTCTTCCTTCCTCTCTGTAAAAAAATCAATAAAATATATTTTAAGAAAAGAAAAGGAAAGGTGTCCCTCTTGCAGAATTACTCAGGAGACAGAACTATACATCCTGCTCCCTCCACTAGGTTTTCTCTTTGAGTAAACTTGGCCCCAGCCTCTGGGAACGTGATGAATATGAGTTTATCCCTGGGAGCCAGAGTCCACCTCTAGCCCTCAGGTTGAGGCCTGGGCCCAGAACACAGTGCCCAAGGGGAGCTGCCCCAGAGGCCCTATGTGGTCAACTCAACTGCCTGGTACACCCAGGTTACACTCTGTACTGAGCTGCATTCTAGGGAGATGACTCTGGCTTGGGTATGGGACAGACTAGAGGTGAGGAGATCAGGTAAGAGGTAAAGGTCCAGGATGAGGCCAGTGACCTGGAGGTCAGAGAGGAAGGGATGATTCTGAGAGATGTTTAAGGGCAGAGTTTACAGGACTTGGTGCCTGATTGGGTGTGGCTGGCAGGGAGGGCACAGCATCTTACATGACACAAAGATTTCCCATTGGGTGACTGGTGAGTGGTGGGGCCTTTCACCAGAAGAAGAACAAAGAGCAGCAAGTTCCAGAGGGAAACTAACAAGTTTGCATTTGAGGTACTCATGGGGAAGCCCCAGTATAGATGCTAAGAAAAGGAAAAGTTTATGGATCCAGAGTATAAGAGAGAGGTTCTAGGCCTGAAATATAGATTTGGGTGAGACAACAAATACTAGCAGTTATAGTAGGAGAGGCTGAGGTCACCCAGGGGGACCTCTGCAGAGAGAAGAGAGGAGGGTCAAGGAACATGCTATTCCCTGGAACGTTCTTTGTGCTCTTCTTTCTCCCCTGGCCAATTTCTACTCCTCTGCCAAGATCAGCTTAGACATCAGACCCCACAGGAAACCTGCTGTTGTCCTGCTCCCACCTCTCGTCTAATAGTCCTCATCTGTCATTGCCTCTTTACTTGCTCTTGCTCTTGGGGGCAGAAACTGTATCTTTTATTCAGTAGTACATCCTAGTGCCGCACATGATGCCTGGCACTTAGAAGGCACTCTATACATCTTTGTTGCATGCACAGAAGAATGCTTCTGTTGCACTGGGAACTGGACCCTTCTCAGGGGATTCAGGAGGACAGCAGAGGCAGGTGAGCGCATCTTGTGCTCTTCACAGGGGGTTCCAGTGTCTACATTCCCGGGGATGTCCAAGTTATGCCTTCTGAGCTAAGCCCCAGGGGTCTCCTTGTCCAGCTCCTCTTAGGGCCCAAGTCCTAAAGTTCTCAGCCTTGGGGACACTATTCTTTCAGTGCTTGACACCCTCAGTCACTGTTCATTTGACCACAGGTCTGAGGCCAACACTCTAGCAGGCCTCAATGATCTAAGGAAGAGATCAGGTTGGGGCCCCAGGGCATTGCATGGGAACAAAGGCCATGTCCTCAGCCCAGACCCAGTTCTCAGGTCCTGCCAGGATGGGGGAGTGTCATGAGGGAGGGAAGGGGGGCTGGTCCTGCAGCCCACCTGACCCCAGCTAGGCTGACACTCTCACAATCTACATGTCCACTGAGGCCTGGAGCAGGTGGTGTCATCCCTATGGTGAGATGTAGCAAGACCCAACCACAGTCACATTTTCAGATAAAAACTGGTGAGCATTTATTTACACACACTCACACACACTCTCATCGCATGCAAACACTCATACTCTTTGGTCTAGAGACCATTGGGAAACTGACCATAAGAAGGAGTGATAGAAGGTAGAAACTCCTCCCCATCTACTATTCCACTGACTCAGAGGTGAACTTGGGCTTGGGGCAGGAAAGAAGGTAGCAGAAACTGATGCCTGAGCTCCCTGGATAGCTCTCCCTCTGGTCATAAGCTGAGCAGCATCCAAAATCCATTTCCTACACTTCACCTCCTGGCCTGGCCTGAGCTTCCAGCAGGCAGAAGTTCCCCTTCCCCACTGCTTCTCATCGCTCATCTGCTAAGAGTGATAGGGAGCAAAAGTGAGAGAAAGAACAAAAGAGATTTACTGAGGTTTAGCCTTTTCTTCAGAGAGATACAAGCAAAAGAAGGCAAAGGAGTTACCATAAGTTTTTGGTCTCAAAAACTTAAGAAAATTGAGTCCATGGCCTCGTCCCTTAACTCATTTTACCCTCCCCTACCCCAGGCCCGTTCTAAAAGACATATCAGTTTTTTAAAAAGTTATTTATTTATTAGGTCTATTTATTATTTAATTTTAACAGGTAATATAATCACATGGTTCAAAATTCAAAATGTACAAAAGGGTATACAGTGCTAAGTCCCCTCCCCTGTCCCCAACCTCCTGGTTCCCTTTCCAGAGGCAACCAGTGTTACCCATTTCTTCTGAATCTGCATACATAAGCAAATCTACATTTATATTTTTCTCCCTTCTATCAACCACAAATGGGAAGTGCACCATACACACTTCTGCACCTTGCCTTTTCATTGGGAGATTATTCCCTATTAGTATACAAAGAAATGTAGTTATATTTATAGCTCAGAGATAGATGGAGTCCACAGAATTTATTTAACCAATCCTCTAGGGAAGGATGTTTCTGTCCTTTCCAAACTCTTGCTTTTTGTATATCCGCCCCAATCCAGGCTCCTAAGGGACCAAGCCCCAGCTCCTTTGCATGCCCATATGTGGTTGAATGGCCCTGGCCAGTTAACCGCTAGAGTTCCTGGGTATTTGTGCTTCTCATCCTTGGTGCCTCCCCAGCCTCCCTTGTTGGCTGCTACAGAAGACAGAGGTCACTGGTTCACACAACCCTGGCACAAAATGACACTCCTTATTACCATTGTACCCGCAAAACCACCTCAAATGCTAGCTTGAGCAGCTGCTGTCTCTATGATCATCCTCTGCTGAGAATGAAAGGCAGGGGGTATACAAATGGGCAAAAAGAACACACTCTGCCCAGGACTGGGGTGGGGGCAACTCCTACTTCCCTCTGTGACAGACATAGGGGGACAGATAGGGATTGTCCTCCCAAACTAGATGTCCTTGCATTTTTTGACTTCCACAGGCCTAGGGCCAGGAGAGGAGACTGAAGTTGAGAAATGAGGGCTGGGAGGGAAATCCCAGAATATAAGAAAGAGTAGAAACAGGAGGAAGAGGTGGTAGGCAAGAGGAAGAGGGAAAGAAGGAGGAAGACTTGGATCAGAGAAAATATGGGCCAAGAAGCCCCTTCCAGCTCGTCCATGTATATGCACAGGCCTGGCAAGCACCCTGACCTGGGCCTCTAGGGGCCTATCTCCATTGTAGAGACCTAGCCTCATCTCACAAGGCAGGCGCTGGGGAGGTGAGGAGGAACCTGGAGACCCAAA